GTACCTGAGCATGGCTTATGCTTCAGCCTAGGGTAGGACTTGAGCTTACCATGCAGTCCAGAGGTTTCTAATATGAGATGACCTCCAGCAGCTTCCGTAACAGGTTTTGATCGCCTTGTTAGTTTTGAGGGATCGCATCTTCCACAATTGACAGTTAACGCTCATCTAATTTCTTTTGCAGAGCCCCGTAATTTCAATGAGATTTAGAATTTGTTGAGCGAAAGTTGCGATGACAATTTAGAACACCATTTCATTTCGGAAAAAAAAGATCAATCTGACCTGCATGAGGGTAAAATTTCTGTTACAGAGTTCCTCAACACAGAAACACAAGACGTGTTTAGAGTGATCTCCACGCCAGCACTTATTTACATACTGCAAAAATTTAACTCGGTTTTCCGTGAATTTCCACAAAATCACCACGCTCACCTTTTGATTGATCGTATACACACGATATGTTGGTTCGTCATTGAATGCGCAGGGAATTCCAGGATCAAGTCCACACATTCTTCCCGGCTGGAAAAATAACCAGGAATAATGAGTCCTCAGTTTTATTTCTACTTATACCATCAGATTGGAATACGAGTAATGGTATTCTTTTCCCTGTCGCATGACACCACCTTCAACGATGGATTCAGCCAGGAATGTTGTTCACATGGGCCGTGAGCCAACTTTTTTGAAAAGGTTTGTTGTATTTATAGGGACACATGCAAGAACATTAAAGCAACAACCCTAGATCAAATTGGTGGAGTAGCAGTGGTCGATAATGATACTGTGGAGGCCGACTCATCTTGAAATGAAAAAAGAAGGCATCGATGAAGCCCTTGTACGAGGGCTCCGGGAGACGGTCAATTCAATCGTCGGCCTAATGAGGTCACGCCGCTCACGCGGCGGACAGCGTCGCGCGCGGCAAATGGTGCGGCGATTTTTGTACGGGTTTGGCTTAACGGTCCTTGTTCATAAGTTGCTGGTGGGGTCAGAGAACTGGTAAGATCAAAGTTCCAGACATCAGTGAGCCAACAAGAACCACCTCAAAATCTCCGCAGTTATTTAAGCCTCACAGTACAGAGCTTGTGCCATGTGTAAAGGTTGTCCTTTTGAACATAATGAGACTTCTTTATTAATCAACTGCCTGAATTGTTATCAGAGAGCGATAATCTGGCTAAATCGGAAAATATTACGCTCCAAGACGCAGTGGAACGTGAGGAAAGGCAATAACATCAGTATGACAGAATAAGTTTGTAAATAATGGCAAAGGACAAGGATCCTGTATTTTTAAGGGGGCAGGTGATCATATACCGTGTTTCACGACTGGGAACTTCATCTAATCCTACATTCCCCAATGCTAGAACCCTGAATTCTAACCACGGCCGACGTCGCATCGCGGGCTGCGGCGGCTGGCGCGGCGACCTAGCTGTCGCCACGATTGAATAGTCACGCACCCGTTTCCCTCTTTGTTCCCTCAAATGATGGGAGGGCGTGTCCGGATCCGAGTTGTCTGTTGTTTTGCTTGTTGCATGGCTCCAGTGATCCAGCGCGTATCGTAATTACGTAGCGTTGTAGCACACGTTCCGTGGTGTGGGATGTGTGCGAGGTATCTCGTCCATGGCTCACATTAGCCATTAACACTAACTCACTTTGTAAAGCAATCATTAACTTACTTTGTAAAGTCCAAGCGTCATTGTTGCAACTTTTGAGCCACGACAACGGCGCAACTGTGATACTGGCGGGTTACCTGATCCCCCCCACAGAATAGTTTGTTTGACACGACCTTCATCTGGAGCTGTTGCTCGCCGGCCGTGAATTTTCATTTTTTTGGAAGGGGCCCTGGACTGGCCAGAAAAAAGGGTGAGAGGTTCCGCAATTTCAATTTATCTGTGCAAGCCAATTTTCTGATTTGAAATCAACAGCTAGTATTACAACCTTATTCCACAACAGGGTTCAGGCAAGGTATGACACCAGGACTTGTATTCTCACACTACCGGATCCCTGGCTGTCGCCTAGCATGCACAAGTCCGTGAAATGAGACGGATCCTGAGAGGAACAGACATAGCCCATAGAGCACATGCCGCAACGGTGTCCCCCAGGAGGCCCGTCGCGCGGCAAAGGACGAGTCGCAGCGCATACTGTAGCGGTTAGGCGTCAGGTTAAATAGAGTGTACCATACTACGTCTCATATCGCACAGCACGCGCTGCGACTCGTCCTTTGCCGCATCTGCGTCTCTTCCTTCGCCGCGCGACGGGCCTCTTGGGTTTGGACTACCCCGGCCGCAAACAAATACGTGCATGGTGCGTCGTCAAATGGGAGACTTCTGTTTTAAAAGATAACAAACATGTGTCGGAATCCCTGGAGCTGCTTTTGAAAAATCTCCTAGTCTTCTAGAGTCATCATTGGTTCGATAGAGTAAATTATGCAACAGCTTCAGGCTCAATCGATTAAAATTGGCATCTTTGAGTTGTTTACGATGGTGAATGACTCGTATTTTGACCTGTGATGGCGATGTATAGTGGGTTGCTTCCGCTCCTCCAAGCATTCAGAATTATTTTTCAGCATCTACCTAGCCCCTTCGTGAAGCGTTTTTACTGATGCACGTCATCAACGAAGTGGCTTTTTTTCCTCCTCCACCTGTTGTTTGCTGTCTGTGGGCAAAACTGGTTAATAATGAAAAAATGCCACTCACATGGAGTTTCACTATATGTTTGTTGCTTTCCTTGCCTCTATAGCATCTAAGGGAGGTCACAACCAGTGGCAATGCTACCAAAATCACCAGCCAAGCTGCAAATATTCACGGTTTTATGGACGGAGGAAATGGAAGAAAGTTTTCGCGTTAATGTCTTTGAAGGTCGGGGGAACATTCAAGTAAGTGAGCCACTTACAGTGTTGGGACTATGCCCTAGAGAGGGGAAGAGATTCTGGGGAGGGCGTTGGCAGCTATTGTTCTTCCTGCATTTAGGCTAGGCCTAGGGTCCCCTACCATCACGGCTTTTAATCTCTGTTTTGAATGCCCTTCCACCCCCTCCCCTTCCGCATAAGATCATGAGCGCCAAAAATTTCTCATGATTTACCTTAAAGGAGGAATTCACGATTAGAATGAAGGTCGAAGAAAGGGAAACTGACCTAGTTGAGGGACCCACGGACCTCCTGAGGGTGCGAACTGACGCGCAATTCGCATGGAAAAATTTGACCTCGGCGACCTATCATGCCTCAAAGCTGGCGGGTTCCGGCGATCTCCGCCCACCGATCATCTGATCACTCGCCGTAGTTCAATACGTGGCGAGTGATTAGATAGCTGAGAGAGCGTAGTGTTGAAGAGGGCACAGCGATGAGAGTCGCATCAATGCTCGAATCAACGGGCAAGGAAGGGGTACCATTTCTCGGGTTCTGGGCCGTTTCTCATGGTTCTTCCTTCTTTCGTGTACCACTCACCATCCCTAGGTTAATTTGAAATGGGTTGCTTTTTCATCGTGAATTCGTCCTTTAAGTACTGTATGGCCGCACTTCGCCGTGTGAAAGTTGTCACAAGATTGGCGACTTTTAGGCGGAACATCTCGTCCTAGGCGGGACTGCAACCCGCATCCCTCGCTCGTCCCATCTGCTGAGAAGTGTTCCACTCATAACTCAGGGTACTACCACAGGAGGCCCGTCGCGCAGCAAAAAGGCAAAGTCAAGCGGACAGTTCGCGCGCGGCACTATAAGGATTGCGTCAAGTTAAAGGCAGACCCCCGGGATTAGCCCGACTAGTAGGAGGGAAATTGTAAGGTCCGTACCTACCTAGATCACTCCAGCTTCGTCGCAAAAATTGCGCGGTTAGGGCGCTAATCCTTACGGGCCTGCAACCATCGACCCCGTTCCAACGCTTCCCACCCACCGCGAGAGGTGGTGAGATCAGCGTGCATTGATGTAGAGATCAGCGTGCTCTCTCAAACGACGTGCTCTCTCGCGTATTTTGTCTTCTTTGACCGCCCTTTCTCGCCATCGTACCACATCCGACCCTGTTGAAGGTTAAGGCCTTAATTTCAGCGTTCCAAAGATTTCTCTTGCTTTCCTTTCCACTTTCAGGTCGTTCCGCAGCTAAGGTATCACTACAGAGCGCTGATAGCACTAGTTCAATCCCCGAGTTTGCCTTCAAAGAGCGTCCCAATTGCACGTCCTACATCGCACATCACGCGCTGGAACTCGTACGGCGAAGTCTCAAGACAAGTTTGAGCTAACCCTGGTAGATAAACAAATTTACAACACCAAAAGTTAGCAATCCTCCTTGCAGGCAATAATGCCATGAGATCACAACGAAAGGGATGGCGAAGCTGTGAGGGGATCAGTGGCTGACAGAAAGCGACAACGACCAATCAGCAGCAAGGGAAAGTGAACGGCTGGGGAGGGACGAAGATGAAGAGTATAGCTCACGGCCCATTTCTTGCGATGTTTCCATTCTTCCTGCCTTGGAAGCATATAGCCGCAGAGGTGGGCTGGTCGGAAACGTCCTGGCAATCCCCTCTGCCGGCTTTCGCACTTCGGAGCTGTCAGCCCCTAGTCAAAAACGTAAGAAGTGTGACTGAACAAAAACTCACCCTCGGAAAGCCGCTAGGCAGGGAGCTGAAGTGGGCGTGGTCGGAATCGGCCGAGGGGATTGCAGTCGTTTCCGACCACGCCCACCCTGCTGGACTGTTGCTTTACACGTACGCCTCGATTTGTACATTGCGGCAGCAAGGAGCAAGAATGCAATCAACGTTGTCCAACGCGCTGTCGAGAGGATGATGATTGGAGTACCTTATACACGCAAGTGCAGAGTGGGATCTGGTCCGAATCCCGTCAACGGTTGATGAATTGGTGACGCTGCCGTTTTTGTGAATAAATAGGAAGATCAGGTGAATCATGTTATGCGATTTTTGTTGGTGACTGTTAGAGCAGAGAAAGGTAGCCATCGAAAAGCAGTTCGAACCCAACTGCAGGTAAGCAGCTTTCATCGGTATTTTTTTCAAGTTACCTGGACAGCTGCTCCGAACTTTATCAACTAGAAGCGCGATAAGTACAGATAAACATCACGAAGTGTCAAGGACCTCTCAAAACTTGCCTAACCACACGCTGACCCAGAGATGCTCATTTCCAAATTCCAACTTCTGTTTGTGCCATATTACCGCCGCTTACGGCTTGGAGACTATGTAGCAGATGTGTGGTGGAATCGAGGTGTGCGCCACCTGTAGATATTCAAAATCCCTGATTTGCAAAAACAAAGGATAAAGCATTTGCCGTTGATCAATCCCGTTTTGGATGCGGCACGCATTCTACTTCCATTTGTACATTCGTAGTGGCATTTGAATGCGATGTGGCCTATACAATGACTTGCGGGGGCCAGCCGATGTTCAAGTCAGTGTTTTTTTTCCTCCCAGACAAGTCTGGTACCAATTAACCGACCCCGGAGGGATGGAAGGCTTGGTTGGCCCGGGCGACTCACGACCCAGGATTTGATCCCCGGACCGCTCGCGTGGTGAAGTTGCGCCTCCGGCCATACACCTCT